TCGTATCATCAGATCGTTTAAGCCTTGAATTTGTCTCCACGTATGGCTTACTTGAAAATTATAATCATTTGAATTATTTAATAACTATTGAGAACTAAAGACCATAAGAACTGACCCATCGATCGATATTGTATTAACATTTGAGAAGATGGCTAAAAAACAAATGAAGAGTATTTGTAAATTCATTGCAAACTTTTCACTCAACACTCATTCTCGAGACAAAATTGTTGAACAAGTCTTCAAATTTGTCTCATATCTTAAATTTAATTCATGACACGGACTCTAATACTTCCTTATATTTTGCTGAGTATAATAAAAAATTTATATTTAATTTTGTTATCAGATATTTGTGATTAATTGATAAACAATTTAAACATTTTATTTTATTATTTTATATTTAAAGCAGTAATTTTTAATTTGAAGTTTTAACTTCTATTAATTAACCATTTTAATTTATTAAATATCATTAAATTATAAAGTTATCTTGAAGTACAAATGTAAAATTAACAGAGTATAACAGAATAATTTATTAACATAATGAAATTTTATTTTATTCAAGACTCGGGACTCTCATATTGTGTTAAAAAAGTAGACATTAAATCTGTCAAAATCAGCATATTTATGTTCAAGCGTCAAATTCTTAATAATTTTACTCATATCAAGAGATTCTGCATAATATCTCTACATTATTGAAAACGTTTAGCACATAATTTATAATTCAACGTAAATTGAATTACAAAATTAGATACAGAATATCATTAATCAATTACAGAATATTCTCTTATTTACTATATATTATAATAAGTTCGGACGATTTAGTCTAACATTTATAGGTAATTAATTAGTATATAATATATTTTGCATTTAAGTCAATAAATTAAAGATATATTAATACAAATAATTATCATTTATTTACAGTCAAAATTTACTACAAATATAGAATAAATTGCTATTTTTTGTCTTTAAAATTTCAATCTCGTAATATTTACTAATATTTTACAGAACTTATTATTACAGAATAAATTTAATAACTTATTATCAGAGCATTGTTAAATGCATACTTGCATATATTTAGCGGTGCATAGTATCGGTGTGAGTGTCCGGATGTCCACCGATCATGTACTGGGGGTCACTTTAGCCGAGTTTTATTTTGCATATAAATGCATATTTCATGGGTTACCGCATATTTGTACTATAACTGCATTTTGAGCGCATATTTTACGAATTTATTAAAAATGTTTGAGTTTTTATGTTGTTGTTATGATATTTAGTTATTTGCAAGCTAATTAAGAACGTACCAAAATTATAAATGTGAATTAAGTCACATAAAATATATTGAAAATATTTCTTTGTTCTAAATTACATGAAAAACTAGGAAAATAAAATTTGCTCAAAAGTGTGTGCTTTTGAAACATTGATTAAAATTGAGCATTTATTACTAAATATATGCAAAATCTCCTCAAATTATAGTTAAGTATTCAAAATTTTACCAAGTAACTTTATAATCGATATATTAATTGCAAAATTGCAATATTCATCAATAAATTTATGAAAAATAAATGCATATTTTAGTGCATATTTGGCCCAACCATCGCCTGATGCCGGCGCATGTGCCCTACGCCAGGAGCCCTAAACTTTCGGCGGCACTTCTCCGACCTCAAACAATCCTCGGTATGATCACGGGTACAGATAAAAGAATGCCCAAATCATATCAGTATTATTATCCTATTTAATTCATTATTATAATGATAATGCATGAATAGCAGGCTAATGCATTATATATTATTTTTAAAATAATAAATAAATAATTGAATTTAATTTTAATAATGTTGCAAAGTAAAATAATCATTTAATTTATATTGCGGTATCATATTAGGAATATTAAATTGCTTGTTTTCTAAATAAAATAAAATAATTTTAATAATGGTAGTAGCGTGACCAACCGTCCTCTATTTCAGAGGACAATCCTCTATTTAGTGTCTTCGTCCACTGTCCTCTGAAGAGGTTAAAGAGGACTATTGAACGTCCTCTATTTTATTTTCTAATAAAAATGGTAACTTTCGCTATTATTTAACTTAAATTTTTGATAAAGTATACAATGTTTATCAATAATTTCATATATTTTATATTTCTAAAGCAAACCATAACTAATAGAGGACAAATAATTTAAGTGATATAATTTACAAGTTAAATTTTCATTTTTGATCTATTGTATCTAGTAATCATTTATATTTAAATCAGCAGAAATGAGCTAGGACATTACTTAATTGTAAGTTTAGCATTGCCGTTATACCTTATATCTGAATATTATTGTAAAATACAATATCTTATATGAATTATAAGACAAATTTGTTGGAACTTTATCCAAATGCTTTTTTTGAATTAGAGGATTATTTTATAAAATAAATATAAATAATTAAAACAACTAATAATAGTTTAATAAATTAATAATTAAATATGTATACATTTCCATATCTATTTATCATTTAGCAGTAAATTAATCAATATAATTTTTTTTGAAAATAAAATCTATTTTAATTTTTGAGGTTAAAATTTCATATGAAAAACGCCGTTAAAAGTGTGTCCTCTATTTGTCCTCTAAAATCCCGAAATAATTAGTCAAAAATTCTCTTTTTTTAAAACAGGAGTTGGTCACGCTAAATGGTAGTAACCTTATAATGATTTAAACAGTTTGTTAATATATTTTTATGGTAAAATTATATTGTAAAATATTTTTATGAAAATCATTGGGATATTATTTAGCTACAGTTTATAAAATTAATCTTATAATGTGGTTTGAAATATCGCTAAAATGTTTAATATTAAAAACACTACTATTGTGTGGATTTCTATACCAAACGTATGAAATCAGTTTAATATACTTCTCATACGAAACCACAACAAACGTAAGGCTGGAATTGCACGAAGTGTTTAGCCCACCGGCGCTAACCCTATGTACTAATATTAAACCGCTATTACAGCCGGAAGTGTTGAAAAACTATACGAATATTAAAAATAAACATTTTATTAGTAAAAATTTTAATAACCAATTGTTGTCTCAAATAATAACATCAATTCTACCAATTGATGATATTTTTAAATGCAAAATCCATAAATCACCAAGTAGTTCATGTAACGAGCTAGCTCAGTATCAAATTGATTATCACGCTGTCCAGAATATATTATGCATAACAATATTTCCCCAATGGGCCAATGAATGGGACACTCTGTATAACATTAATTCCTCGACTATTACGAAACCGTATTTCTTGTCTATAAAAATATATAAAAAGTTGAATAAATATATTCATATTTATATTCATTCACGTAAAGTAAAAATTCGCAAAATTACTACTAGATCAAAAATAACGTTCAATACATTTGAAGCAAACAATTGTTAAATATTCTAACGAAATTAATACAAACAAATATTTAGCTAATCAAAACACTGATAATTGTGAATCAGAATGTTATATCAGGGAATATACACTGAAATATTCATCATCATGTTTATCTTTAAACATAATATATAATAAAAGTGATTGCGTTAATAATACTCAACATTTTAGGTCTATAACTGATAACAGTATTGGTAGGCATTGTATGTGTGAATGCAGTGATCGTATAGATTATATACAACACTACTATTCTATCGATTATACATTTAAACAAGATTTTGACCACAATTATAAAATTACAATAAATACACCCTCAGAGCCCGAAATAATATACGAGATATCATTGAAAATGTCATTTGAAAAGTACGTGGTATTCATGAGATCACTAATTGGCCTATGGTTTGGTGTATCGGTGTGTTTGGTGTATCTTATTTTCACTAATCTATTCATACAATTATCTGCAAAATATTACACTTATATCTCTAATAAAAAAAACAATTATAGTTACCACACCAAGGTCAATGTTTTTTAATGTCACAAATATAGGGCTCCATATAGTACATGGTGACTCAATCGGAACACATGTTTCTGGTCCAATACCTAGATGTAAATGACAACAATCGCAAAATATATTTAATGCTAGTGTTATATAAACTATAATCTAAAATATTCTTTTTTAAAAGCAAACATAACTTGTAATAAATAATAATAATAATTACAATTTAATCATTTATTACAGTCTCGTTTATTTTACAATACATTTATTTTAATACATATGTTTAAATTGATTTTCTAATAATAGAATAATACTTATAACCAAAGCATTGTTAAATTCATACTTGCATATATCTAGCGGAGCATAGTATCGGTGTGAGTGTCCGGATGTCCACCGATCATGTACTGGGGGTCACTTTAGCCGAGTTTATAAATGCATATTTTATGGGTTACCGCATATTTGAACTATAACTGCATTTTAAGCGCATTTTTTACGAATTTATTAAAAATATATGAGTTTTTATGTTGTTATTTTGATATTTAGTTATTTGCAAGCTAATTAAAAACGTGCTAAAATTATAAATGTGAATTAAGTCACATAAAATATATTGAAATAATTTATTTGTTCTAAATAACATGAAAAACTAGGGTAATAAAATTTGCTCCAAAGTGTGTGCTTTTGAAATATTTATTAAAATTCAGCATTTATTACTAAATATATGCAAATACTCTTCAAATTATAGTTAAGTATTCAAAAATTTTACCAAGTACCTTTATAATCGATATATTAATTGCAAAATTGCAATATTCATCAATAAATTTATGAAAAATAAATGCATATTTTAGTGCATATTTGGCCCTGTTTTCTTGCATATTATATGACATATTTGACTGCTTATAAATGCATATTTAGAAATGCTCTGCTTATTATTAATGGCATATTAATTATAGTTAATTAAAATTATTGTAAAATATAGCCGGTTTCTCCTTATTGGCAATAGCCATACAATCACATATTGGAAACACTACCTATAATCTGGTTGTCATTATTAGTGAGTTTATTATATCGGGTAATACTGTAGTGAGAGTTGTAGTGAAGGGGCGCTGCAGTGAAACCGGTGCTCAACATTGAGTGCATTGTCGAGACATTACAGTAGAGTAGAGCCGGTGTTGACTCCACTCTACACTACTGTACAACTCATACCTAAACTGAAACTCTAGGTATCGATCGATTCAACTGATCTCATCTCCAGAACACGTGTCCATTCATTTCAAACCATTTCGTTGTCTCCAATGAACTAAACGTTTGTTTCAATTCATATGAAATACAATTGATTTAGCATTAAATGTGTCCTCAATTGCAGAGACCATGCATTTCACAGGAGTAGTGATGATGTGTCTGATGGGCGCACATGTGTTGACCGCAAACCCCAATCCCACCACAATTGTAGACCAATCGGATTTGGATCGCATGAAGACATTGGTCCACTTGTCAGCCCCGGTGTCCACCAATTCATTGTCGAACATCTATTACTCCCTCTTCTCCCAGACATTGCTCTCCCAAACCATCGCTCAATCGACTGATATATGCAATCATCTGAAGACACAAACCGACCAAACGATTGAATCCATTTTCTACATCACATCCGCCGCTAAACTCATCAATTGTCAGGTATTTGTCAACGATTTGGATGACTATTGAGTAAATTGTATGCATTGTTGTGTCTGAATATCACATTACCGTCACCTCAGCGGCGGTTATATCACACAAAAGCGATAACAATGTGATGAATGACACTCTTATATGATTGTACAGTAGTTAGCATTGAATCGGTTTCTTACCAGATATTTGTTAATTTATAACAAAGTATCTAAAAATAAACCGAAAAATTAAATTTTTATAGAAAATCCTACTTTTTTGTTAACATAATAGCATTAAAGTGTGGAAAATATAAATACAATTTCTTAAGTTAACTCATGAAAAGTAGTTTAAGTGATGTTTAGTTTTATTTCTAACACTTTTTATATGTGACAACAGATATCTGGCGCTCAATACGTGTCTAAACTGGAATCGGCGCTGAAGGAGGACTCGCCGGTTGCGGACATATATCGTGCGGCCATTTCTTTGTTGAATTTGGGAAAAGCCATCGATTCAACAAAAGTGGCGAAAGTGTTGGTCACGGCTCTCAAGAAAGACGAGTCGCTAATCAATACGGGACTCGCCTTTCAATTGGCGGCTAAGTTCACGAAAGCGGAGGACAGGAATTTGTTTGTCGAAAAGATCGGTGACGTTATCGTTCAGGCGGACGAAGTGGACGGCAAGTTCTTACAGGTATGGCATTAATAGTGTAATTATTGTCCAAATAGTTAATATGGTTTCTGCTGAACAGTTTGAAGGAGGACTCGGCATCACTGCCAGTATAGTGAGTGGTGTGTATCAGTTGGCCAGCGCTAGCAATAAGCCGATTGGGCTGAAAAATGTAAGTGTTTTTCGCGCACAAATTGGTCGCAACAATGACTGAGACTGTGTATATAATTGGGTCCATAGGATCAGGCGCTGAAGTTTGCCAATTACTTCCTGTCCCGGAAGTACGTTCTCACTCCTAAAAGCATCTCTGAATTGCTTGAAGTGTTGAAACTTTTTACTAACAATAAATACCACATTCCGGTGATAATCACAAACTATGGCTCGAGTGCTCTCTCGCCATCAAACCCTGTGCTTACTGTTCGAGTGACTAATGTTTTGGGCGCTTCTTTGGGTCCGCTCGCAGTGACAATTGATTCGGCCGTCAAAGTCGATGACAAGAAAACAGTATTAACTAAAAAGACTTTGCAGAGCGTTCAGGGAGACAGGTATTCATTGATTGAATTACATGTTTGACAAATAAATGCAATTGAATTGTTGTCCATATCAGCAAACTTTACGCCATTAACTTTCTGGACTCGAAGCCGTTGAGAGGACAGTACGATCTGTTGGTGAGCGCTGTGCCATCGAAGGCCGACCCTCGTCTCATAGCAAACACCGGCGTTCAGCTGAAGGCCATTGTTTTGACACAAGTATCGATTGTAAGCGCAGAGATCACTGTCGCCGATCGGGACACCGGTGGCAGCGGAGCCGTCACTAAGTATTGAATTGTTTTATTGTACATGTGATGACATATAAGCCCGGCTTCACCCACTGGTTTGACTTTTAAGTGCAATACCTGTTCCCAATCTGTCGGAATATCAATATGACTAGAAAAATATTATTTAATACTTTAATTATTATCTAATATTTGGGTTAAATCTAACATATTTTAAAAACACATTTTAGACTTGAATACCCGAAAGCAATATCACAACCATTAGAAGCGGATTCTCAGCAGAGAGTTGTCCTTAAATTTCAATTGAAAGACAAGATTGTGGGCGATTTGATGTCAGCCCACCAGACATTCGTTCAGTTGACAAACGTAAAGACAAAGCAAGACATTGTGTTCATTGCAGAACACGATTCGGCGCTTAATTACAAATTAGATCTTAATTTGCAAACTAAAGCCAAAGACTTGAATCATATGAACGGCTTGTATGAGATTTCGCTTATCATTGGAGACGCAGTCATTTCGAACCCAATCCAATGGAAGATCGCATCAATTAATCTTCAACTCTCGTCCTCTCACTCGCCGTCCACTGAAGAAGCGGTTTCTCCGTTTGTCTCCAAACCAGAAATCAAACATCTGTTTAGAGAGCAAGAGATACGTCCGGCGCCTGTCGTGTCCAACGCTTTCTCTATTCTAGTTTTGCTGCCAATAGTCATACTCTTTGGACTCGTAAGTGAATTATT